TCTCCCCACCCCAGCGCCTGCAGCTGGTGGTCAGCCACGGCTCCATCGACCTGGATGTCAACAGTGACGGGCCTTGAGGGGCCGGGCGGCCCTCCGCCTGGCTTCCCAGCCCGAGTTCTCGGGACTCACTGATCTCCAGAAGGAGCTCTCGGGCCTCTAAGAGGCCGCTGACCCTTGACCCCAGCACAGCTCTGACCCGGGGGTGGGGTTGCGTTGGACACCCCCGGGGATCAGACCCCTGACCTGTTGTGACTGCTGACCCCTGAGCCACCCCAACCCCAGCAGGGAGCCCTGGCCATTGCTGCCCCCCCCCGCCCCCCCGCCCCAGCCTCAGGACTGAAGATGCCATTCCCTCCCCCGACACCTTCTCCTGCCCAGGGAGCAAAGCCATAGGGGTGGGGGCCACCCCTGGCATCTCCCCAGAAGCCCAGCCTCTGGCGGAGGGGGACTGACTTGGGGGTGGAGACTGCCCCACGGGGGGAGTGGGTCTGCTCTCAGCTTTGTGACTGTCTGAGGTGGGGGGCAAGGTGGGGGTGTCCACGCACCCTCGCCACCCCCGTGGGTCTCAGGGAGGCCGGGTGTGACCTCATCTTTCTCATGGTGCTATCCCTGGTGCTACTGGGGTGTGGGGGTCTCCCTCCCCTCCCCCACACCAGAACGGGGTATGTTGGGGGATTGGAAGCACTTGAACTTTTTATTTTATTAAAACCTTGTTACAAGCTTCACCCGTGGAAGCCTTTCCTTTTATTTCTATTTCGAGGGCGTGTCCATCGGCAGAGCAGGGCCCTCAGCCCGGCTGGGGGCACCAGGCCCAGAGGAGGCAGCCCAGGCTTCGGCCTGGGAGCTTGGGCGTGTGAAGAGAAGCCTGGGGCTGGAGTGACTGGGTCTCAGGAGGGAAGACAGCCATTGCCTGCCACGTGCATCCAGTGTCGGTCTCCGGGACAGTGGCAGCCGGGCCGGGATTACCCCCTTGCCTGAGGTCGCACCACTGGGTGGCCCCAGGGCAGATGGCGTCCAACCAAGAGGTTGGAAGTGCGGGGCATTCAGGTCAGGTCCCCTGAGCTGACAGGATCTGGGGTGTCCCGGGGAAGTTGGGCTGGCCTCAGGGGCCCACCATGGTAGCCCAAGCCTAGGGGGAGGGGCATGTGGATGGGGTCAGTCCTAGGGCTGCCGGCCAGGGGCCTTCACCATCCAATGCGGTTTGGGGCCACACTGATGCCGGGGGCCTCCGGTTGTCTGTGTAGACCAGCAATGGCGAACCTATGACATGCGTGTCAGAGGCGAACTCATTTTTTTGGTTGATTTTTCTTTGTTAAATGGCATTTAAATATATAAAATAAGTTTCAAAAATATAAGTCTTTGTTTTACTATGGTTGTAAATATAAAAACATTTCTATATGTGACACGGCACCAGAGTTAAGTTAGGGTTTTTCAAAACGCTGACACGCCGAGCTCAAAAGGTTCGTCGTCACTGGTATAGACGACGACCCCACACGCCCTGCAAGAGGTCCCACCGCATCCTCCCCCCAGCGTCAGTGAAACACATTTTATATTTCTAAAACTTTTTATTGATTTTTAAAGAGAAAGGAAGGGAGGAAGAGAAACATTCACATGAGAGCAGCACATCATAGCTCAGCCCAGCCAGCGTGGCTCAGTGGTTGAGCGTTGACCTATGAACCAGGAGGTCACGGTTCGATTCTCCATCAGGGCACAGGCCCCGGTTGTGGGCTGGATCTGTGTGGGGCCTGCAGGAGGCAGCCCATCGATGATTCTCATCATTGATGTTTCTCTTTCTCCCTCTCCCTTTCTCTCTGAAATCAATAAAATAGCTTTTGGTCTATATTTCAAAAATACATCACTTTAAAATTAAATGTCCCAGAGGTGATGGAGGGATGGTGGTGGGGAGGATGCCTGGCCCAAGAGGGAGTGAAGGAAGGAGACTGGGAGGGGCCGCTGGCTAACGGGGCCAGGTGCACTGGAGGCCGGTGCTCTCTGAGGTCAGGAGCCGGCTGGGCGGTACAGGTGTCTGCCCTGTGCTCGCATGCCACCTGGGTGACCTCACCGGGTGCTCAGACAGCCGTCACCCGGCCTGTGACTCAGCTGCCTTGCCTGCGTGGCACCGTGGCCTGCTTCTTCTGCAGCCCTGCGGCCTCCATGCAGGGAGTTCCCAGGAGGCCCCTCCTGTGGCCGCTAGTCTGTGTGACCGGTGCGCACCCTACCCTGCGCCCTCATCCTCCTGCTTCTCCGGTCCTGGTCCGAGAGGATCCCTGGGAGCCAAGGTCTTGGGGTGGGGCATCTGGGAGATGGCACACCTGGGGGTGTGTCCAGGTTGGGGTGATGAGGGCATGGAGGGGGTGAGGGGCCCGGACGGCGCTGGCTTTCCCCCAAGCTGACCCGGCCCCTCCCGTCTCCGGATCATGGGACTTGGATCAGTATCTCCTTTACAGCTGGGGAAACTGGGTCAGGTTACAGCTGAGGTGCGGGCAGGTCAACAGGCTGGTCCAGGGTCACCCGGAAAGTTGTATGATTAGCAACAGCCACCTTTGGGCGCTGGGGTTGAAGGGGCCTTGGCTGCGGGCAGAAACTACGATTCAGTGTTACCGGGCTGGGGCGGGGGCTGGCGGGCAGGCAGGGCCAGCCCATTCCCCGCAAGGGTCCCTCCTCAGCCTGGGGCCCGCGGTGAAGGGGTCGGAGAGGTGACATTGCGAGGGGGTGTCTAAGTCAGGAGGAACCACATCCCGGCATTGTCACCTGAGGGCCTGGCTGTGGGAAGCGAAGGCTAATTCAGGGGCCCCGCCGGCTGGCTCCGTGGTTGAGCGCCGCTGTGAACCAGGGGGTCAGGGTTCGATTCCCAGTCAGGGCACACGCCCGAGATTGCGGGCTCCATCCCCAGTGTGGGGCGTGCAGGAGGCAGCCCATCCATGATTCCCTCATCACTGATGTTTCTCTCTCTCCCTCTCAGAAATCAATTAAAATATTTTTAAAAAATAATTCCGGTGGGCCTCTGAGCGCCCGGGAGCGCAGTCTTCAGGGTCTGCGGGAGGAAGGGAGTGACTGTCTGGAGCGGGTGGGAGGCGGCTGCCGGGCCGGAGGGTGCGGTGGGAGAGGCCGGAGGGGGAGGAGCTGTGAGGAGGGCTCACCTGCCGGGATTGGAGTCACGGGGGCAGGAGAGCGCCGAGAGCCCGGAGGTTGGGAGCAGGGCCAGGGTGGGGGAACGGGGTTCTTAGCGCTGCGTGGGCCTGAGGTGGGGGCCTGGGGCAGAGGGACAGAAAGCCTGGCGGAGTCCGGAGGCGGTCCAGGTAAGAGAAGCTGCTGAGGACTGAGATGGCGGGTTCAGGAGACAGGCAGGTGCGGCGGTTGGGAGGTGGGAGCACCCTGTGGCCCTGCTGGTGGGCGAGTACTGAAATTTTTAATTGTTTTGCCTGGCTTTAATGAAGCTCTATTTTTGATGAGAGCTAAATTTTTATGAATAGGTGAATTATCCTGCAATTGGCAATACTACCCAATGTAAGAAAAACATGATGATCAATGAGGAGGAAAATAAAAAGGGAAACATTAGCAAGCAAATATCTTACCAAATAAGATCTGGAAATTAGGAAACAGGTGATGTAAGCGTTGAAGGGACACAGCATTTTAAGAAAGTCTTGTGATGTAAGAAGGGCGGGGTTTCAGGTGAGTTTCAGACTAGATGGTTTACAGGAGACAAGCTAGAAATCACCCCAGAGGAATGATGATAGAAGAAGAATCTAAATAGATCATAAAATGATAGACTGTGGAGCTCATTTTCCAATTGTGATACAGTTGTGCTCCTAGTACCTGAGAACAAGGAATCCTGAGACATACGTGTTTGCCCCTCCCGACCAGACACCGTCTTTCTTTAAAATATATATATTTTTAAAAATATATTTTCATTATTTTACAGAGAGGAAGGGAGAATGCTAGAGAGTTAGAAACATCGATGAGAGAGAAACATCGATCAGCTGCCTCCTGCACACCCCCTACTGGGGATGTGCCTGCAACCAAGATACATGCCCTTACCCAGAATCGAACCTGGGACCCTTGAGTCTGCAGGCCGACGCTCTATCCACTGAGCCAAACCGGTTAGGGCAAAATATATTTTTTAATTGATTTCAGAGAGGAAGGCAGAAGGAGAGATAGAAACATCAGTGATGAAAGGAAATCACTGATGCCCGCCACAGTGGCTCAGTGGTTGAGCATCGACCTATGAGCCAGGAGGTCACGGTTCGGTTCCTGGTCAGGGCACATGCCCAGGTGCAGGCTCCATCTCCAATCGTGCAGGAGGCAGCCGATCAATGATTCTCTCTCATCATTGACGTTTCTCTCTCTCCCTTCCTCTCTGAAATCAATACAAATACATATTTTTAAAACTAAAGAAAAAAAAATCATTGGTGGGCTGCTGCCTACACGCCCCCTACTGGGGATGGAGCGCACAACCAGCGCATGAGCCCTGACGGAATGGAACCGTGACCTCCCAGTTTGTAGGTTGATGCTCAACCATCTAAGCCATACCAGCAGATCCCCGCCCCTCCTGACCAGGCCCCTCCCCCTCCTGACCGGACCCCTTCTTTTCACTCCAGGACAGGGCCCCCTTCTCCATTCCTACCGGCTCCACCCCAAGCCCCGCCCCCAC